ACAATCATTATTGTAGAAAAAATGAGTTTTGAAGAGTGGTTTTTAAGAGAATGTGTAGTTAAAAAATATAGACCTTTTGTCGAGTTAGCATGTCTAATAGAACTTTTGAATTCAGATAAAACTCTAAACAACGTCTATTTTTTTCTTTTACCACATCAACTTGATAGAGTTCTTGTTAGATTGCATGAAAGATTAATTTTTTAAAACACAGTCAATTTCACTTATATAATTGAAATTAACGAGCATTGTTGGCTTCCCACTTAATTAAGTCTACTTATAATTTAATGTGGAAGGCTCATATTTCAAACACTTTCGGTAGACAGTTTGAAGTGAAAGCCAATCTATCTTGTGGTTTAAGTTTAGTTTAATAAACGGCACTGTTGAATTATTTATTGAGAAATACGGTATCTTTTTGCAGTACCAATAAATTTCTGTTTCCATACTTAGAATATAAAATAATCTTCCTGCTTTGCGAAGAAATGAAAAAATAGTGTTCATTAATGGATTTTGCTAGTGACCATCAAAAGTGCCCGACCTTGCCTGACCATGGTATCTAATGGATGGACTGGACAGTGACTTGTGTTTCCATCAACTAAACCAGTTGAAAGATATGTTTATTTTATGGTACTACAGCATAAAATATTTGAAAAGAATAATACAATATCCGAAGTTTTAACATGGTATCAGAGTCAATTAGTTTTAACGAGTAATTCAATTTGAACAAAACTAAAAAGTGAGCACACGAATCTCAAGATTGGTATGTTCAAACGAGCCACCGTCTTGTTGCATTTTAATGTATAAATTTCTATATCGAATAAAGAAAAACATAAATCAATTTATAAGGGTTTAAACTACTCATTTCATACGGTAGACTTTTAAGATAAAATCTCAAATCGCTAAAAAGAAAAAAGAAATTTGTTGGATGGGCGGCCGAGATGAACAGTAGTAATTTGACCAAAAAATTATAAGCAGTTAAGAATAATCTATTATTTTTACTCTTTTATTGTATGTACGACTCTTTTACCTAAGTATTATATATTACAATATTTGGACCTTTGTGCATTATTTAATTAATAAATAAAGGTTTGACCTACGGCTGATTAGATTCTCTCGATTGCCAATGATGGACCGACAGAATTTGCCACTACAAAGAGTGGTGGCAATGGTTGGACTGCTAGAGCTCCATGATTCATGCATGCTTTATTTTCTTGATTATAACTCCCGCCACAATTAATCACAGTGATGCAAGGATTATGTAATGTTGATTTCTTGAATGTTGGAGCTTCCATGTTAACCGGAGGCTTGATGCGATAAAAATTATGTAAATCTCGATTAAGTGTATGATCTTTTTGATTGAAATTAACTAGATAGACAAAAGAAATCATCATTTGGAGATTATGATCATCATGTACGTATGGGTTATAAGAATGTGTATTTGGTTGAAGAACGAATTTTCAAAGATGTCCACATCAGCCAAATACAAAATTGACATTAAATCCCTGTTTGATGGTCATTTTTCTCAAAAACAACGTTTTGAATAGTGATTTTAGAAGATTGTGTGGTTAAAAAGTAATAATTTTTTTTTGATTTATGTGCAAAATTTTTACTGCGTAAATATGTGGTTGAAATATTAAAAAAAAAAAAATTAAATAATGGTTGTCCAAAAGGGGCTAAGTTTGCAAGGACTTCAAATAACTCCACTCACTAAGTTAATAATGAATGTACAAAATATCAAACATGCACTTGATGCTTGACTTTTAATGAAGAAAGTAAACAAGGTTTCTATTTTTTAACTACTATATGTGAAACGAAGATAAAACGTGGTACATTCTTAAGGGAGCCCAGCCTTAATTCTAGCTAAAGGTCAAAAAAATAAACTTTCTTGGAAATACAGTGCAAGAGTTAAAGAAACTTCATTCGTCCTAGTCACGCTCCTTGCTATCATATAAAGCTCTAACTTCTGGTCATTTTTTGAACTCGTTATGAAGGAGAATTTTTAAATTATTATTAGTACAATACTCTAAACTCGAGAAGTATGCAGCCTTGTCCCAATCCCCACAAATATATCTAGAAAGCGTTCCCTAGTTCTCTTGCATTTGTATAAGTTGTTGCTCAACTCTTACCTCACTCACACCTATCACCTACAATGTAGATGTTGGAATATTAAACCAGCCCAAACAGCAAGTTCTCCAGCCCACGTGCACCAGCCCAAACCACATTCTCCAGCCCAAATAAGATTCTCCAGATCACTAGCTCACCAGCAACACACGTGCAGATTCACAGAAGTTCACCTTCAACAACACCAGAACACTTTCAGCTCTTCTTCCAGCTTTCTTCTAGTTTCTTCTAGTCTCTTCCTTTGTTTGTTAGATTGTTAGTTTGTTAGGTAATTGGTTAGTTTTTCTTCTATAA